TCCTAATGCTGTGACCCTTTAATACAGTTTCTCATGTTGTAATGACCCCAGCCATAAAATTATTTCATTGCTACTTCACAACTGTAACTTTGCTACTGTTACGAATTGTAATGTAAATATCTGATGTCATGGGGATCTTCATCCATAGGTTGAGAACCACTGTTCTAGACCATCACCTTCCCTTTTCTTGAGGTTATCTTCTGGGTAGCAACTCATCCACAGAGCCCTGCCCTACCTGGCACCCTGGAAGCATGGAGTTTCAAAGCCTGCCTGTCTTCACATGGTCAAGTACTCAGGAGCCATCCTTGACTGAGATGTCTCTTGACCCTGCAGTCACCAGTCTGATCGTCAGCGACAGCACACCCCACCCAAGCTCTGAGGCTGTTCCCAGTTCATGGCCCAGCCAATCACACGTCACCTTGAACTCCTCCAGCCCTCAGTGCCCCCTCCCCAAGTCCCCATCTGGCCTGTCTGCTATCCCAGTAACTACCTTTAGGTTGCCTAGGCCTCGGTCTTAGCTCTGGACACCCTGCCCATGTTTAACATGAGAAAAATCCAGCACTCAGCAAATGCCCTGTAAGGAACATGCACACAGAACATGGAGAGACATATGGCTATCTTCACAGAAAGTTCCAGGCCAATGCCATGGGAAGAAGACCTAGCTGCCTCACAGACATCTGGGTAACCAGAGCTGTAGAAACACCAGCTCAAGGACAGCAGGTCAAACAAACTGCAAATGCCATTTTACCCTCATGTGTGAGATGGGTCCTCAATGGAACTGAGAACAGAAACAGCCACTGTGCCTGAGGCACATGGAGATCTGGCCTTAAATCAGACTCAGCTGAGCCTCTGAGAACCCCCTCAGGCTTACACTCATCTGTAGAAGTACCTGACTCTACGGTGTGCCCCCCCCCACACACACACCTCAGGAATGACAGCTGAAGCCTGGACTGTTATCATAGCTGACCACATGGCTCACCACACACACCCCATGACACCACTCAGGAGTGAGGATAGGGGGAGGGGCCCAAGTGTGGGTGCCCACATCTCCACACCTGATGGGAAAGCCATACCCACAGGCCATTCAGGCAGCCAGAGCCAACCTTTCCACCAACCAAACCAAGACTGCGGTCAGCATGCATGAAGGAAGTGAGTTCAGCGCTAACACAGACCAGTTGTCAATTATAGCTCTTTGAACGAAATTAGGTACTCAAGGGGATTAAAAAACAAAAAAGAGAGGAAGGCAGCCAGGTGACCGCCAGCCAAATCAGGCCATGCTGTCTCAGAGTGTCCTCTCCTACAAGCACTATTGCCTGCTGGGACTGTGGCTCACTGCCTCCTGTCCCCACACCATGGGGCCAGGGATGAGAGCAGGTAAGGTAGCAGCCAGGCCTCCTATATAAGGTCACAGCATGACCCTGGGGGCTCTCTCCACCCTGGGCCTGAGACTTCCATCTCACCTAGGTGCCATGAAGGCAGAGAGAACCCTTTGAGAAGTCTCAGGGGCACTTGAGTTGGCTTCCAAGGCCTAAGTCACACAGGATGACCCATTGAGTGATACCTGCTCCTAGCACTGGCATCTGAGGACATAGGTCATCTGGCTAGAGCATGAGGTGAGGACATCCGGCTCTTCTAGAAGAGCACTGTTGCCCATTACACAGCAGCAGGACCCACTTAGAGACTGGAGGACCCTGAGGCTGTCTCCTCCACGCTCAGCAAGAAAGGCTCAGGCAGCACTGAGATGCACAGCCTCCGCCCCCACACTTCCTGCTTAGGCTTCAAACCGTTCTGCTATGGGAAAACTGGGCTTGCCCAGGACCAAGGACTGAGCACCTTCACCTTGTGGATGGGCCCACACCTGGCTCAGGGCCGCACCTGGGAGACTGTTCCCTCCCTGCAATAACAAAACACAAGCAGAACTTCTGTAGCAGACAGAGGTACAGAGCAGGGGATACCGAGTTCCCTGAACGCAGGGAGAAAGATGAGCAGGGAGGATTCTGGGCATGTTTTTGCTTACTCTGTTGCCACTGTAAGGCGGTCTGCTAGCAGGAGTAAAGGTGCGTTCAAAGGATAGACGACAGGATGAAATATTTAAGTGCCCCCCACCCCCAGTTTAAAAAAATAAAATAAAAACAATTTAGGCTCAGCTGGGCACAGTTTAGAAGGTGGGCCATCCTCCTGCCCTTGATGTGGAACAAGTACACACTGCTCTCCCTGTCAAACCTTTCAACACGGAGTCACTAAAGGGAACCCAGTGTCCTAAGCTACTCACAAGGCCTGTGACTGTGTTGATTCCGCCCCTTGGCACAGAACCCTGGAAAGAGACTTCAAGCAGTTTACCACAGTGGAGGCCACACTAGGCCCACCACCAAGGGTGAGAAAAGGAAGCAGCCACTCAGCAGGCACCTGAGTAAACAGACCAAAGCCCTCTGGGTGTCCAGAGAGGGTAGTGGAGGCTAACCTCCCTGGAGGAAAACAAAGTCCTGACAAACCCTCCCTTCATCATGCCACCCAGAATCCAGGAACCCTCCCCAACAGTTGGAAACACTGGAGACTTCAGAGGTTCAGGAAGAACCCAGTACATGGTGGATAAACAAGACTCCCTCTTGGGTCCAAAGCCAGGAAACCTACATAACCTGCTGGGGTCCTCTGCATATGATGGGTGGGGATCCCAACTCCACCCAGAACAAGAACTCGGGGTCCCCCCTCCTCCTAGCCTGTGCCCTGATCTGAGTATCTATAGAATCACTGCTGCTCCACTATCTCCTCGACCCAGGACACCACACAGGGGCCTCTGGGTGGACCTATCCCATGGCCCAGTCAGGCTTCTGCCATCCTTCCAGGTTCTGTGACATTCAGGCACCTCTTGGTTGGTATCATGCAGTCACTCAATGGTCCTATCATCAATATGACTTGTGATGTGGAGGCTCTCACCCAGAGGGCTCTACGCTGGTCCAGACCCCTGTCATATGAACTTTCCCAGGGTGGACCAGATAGAGGAAGGTAAAGCCCATATAATGCATTGCAGCCTGAGCCAAACATGAACAGTACCTCTCACTGAAGGAGGTGTGAGGACAGTTTCCCTGTCTACTGGGGGACTCCAGTCTCCCCAAGGAGCAAAACTAAAGTCCAGAAGCTACCCCACTTTTACCTAGACGCCTGGCCAGAGGCCAGGTCCCACCCTCTGCTGCCCCGCCCACAAGGTCAGACTGACTTGTCTTGCCCTAATGGGAAGGGGAATTAACAAGAGTCCCAGGCCTCTGCAATGTCTCAGCCAGATAGGCAGGTGTGGACTATGGAAGTCTGTCTCACATCAGTGTGCCATAGCACCACTGCTCTGTCCTCTACCCTCAGTGACATTCCATAGTAGCAGCACCAGCAGGTGCTCAGAGAGCTACACTGGTCATCTGGCAGGAGCAGGAAAGTGGGGAGCCAAGAATCGTGCCATTCTCCAGAATGGAGAATCTTCTCCCCTTCCCGGATCCTCTCCTCTGTGCCTCTTCAGGTAGCAGGAGCACTGGGCAAACTCTAGATCCTGGGCCATAGACCTTGTTCCCCACCAGCCACACCCATTCTGCACCATCAAGGCTGCCTCTCTGCAAGGTCTAGGATATGCCAGGCAAAAGATGGATGTGATTCTCATAGGAGCCAAGAGGGAGAAACTCAACTCCTGATGAAAGTTGCCAAAGGACACCACTGACCCTCTCACGCAAAGCCGTATTTTCCTACGAGAGCCAAAGGGGAGTGAGGAGACCAGACCTTTGAAGCTCTCTGTCTCTGAAGGGCTGATAACAGGTCAACAACTCCAAAATGAGCCAGCTTGTGCATACATGCAGAGCACCCTGCAGGTGCTGAGAACACAGCATCTGGATCCCATTTCTGGGCCCAAAGTGCAGGCATCCTGCAGTGGATGGCAGCCTGGCACCCAGTTCACCCAGGCTCGCCCAGGAGGCATCAGCCCTGGAAGGCCAGCTAACTTTACAGGCCAGCCGGGTAGGCTTACACCTCCAGCCAGCACTTTCCCAGTTGGCCCCTGCCTGACAGCTGCCCCTCCCTCCCAGAAAGGGAGGGCCTGTAAACACCCCTTGTGACAGGAGCTGCCTCCTCTTCCAAGGCTGGCCCCAGGACGGCTAGGGTTGCATTTATATAATCTTCAGGGCCAGGGCTGACACAGCTAACGTGAGGGCAAGGTTATGAAAAATGCATGCTGAGCCTCTGCTTCCAAAATGAAAGAGAAAAAGAGACAGAACCAGAGATAGAAATGGAAGGGAAAAAAGGGGGTGGGGAAGAGGGGGGAGGGGAGGGAGGTAGGGAGAGGGAGAGGGAAAGGGGGGGAGAGAGAGAGAAAGAGAGAGAGAGAGAGAGAGAGAGAGAGCAGGCATTTTTCACGGTTTTCACTCATACATCTAAATTGTGAACAAACCAGGCTCTTGGAACACAAGGAGGCTGCTGACAGGGCTTCCAGGCCTTGGTCAGCAGGGCCCCAAGGGCCCACCAAGCATCACTCCTGAGTCAGAGGAAGCCCTTGCAGGCATCTGCAGCCATCACACCTACATCTTATAGGGTTCAGGAAGATGCTAATTTGAGGACAGCTGGGAGCTTCCAGGCCACCTAGAAAAGAGCCCAGGCACAGCCTTCTCTCTCACCTACCTCCAGTCTCTACTGAGTCAATAAAAGTGGGTTCTGAGGCCCTATAAGGAGCAGGAGCTGACAGAACGAACCTCCATTGCCCACTCCAGTGCCTCTCACTGAGAGCACAATTGGGCACTGCACAAAGACAGCCTTGACCTCCAAAATGACAAGCCTCAACCTGTGCACAGGTCCAGAAACAGCACCAACAGGGTATCCATACACATGGCTATGCCCTGCCGGACACCCACACGAAAGGTGACACATACCAGCCACCACCATCCCCAGAGCTGCCTAAAGCCCTGCGCCAGAGCAAGGACACACCCAAGGACGCATCTGCTGACAGCCCACCTGTGGGCACCGACCCTCACCTGCAGTTCACACCATGCCACCTCCACCCAGGTCTCCGTGTCCAGCCCCTTGTAGACCGTCTTGAAGGAGCCTCGGCCCAGCTCGATGTCGAACTTGAGGAAGCGGCCGTCCAGGGAGGTGGCCACGGCCTTGAGGTCGTCCTCATCGTCCTCCTCCACCTCAGGCTCATCCTTGCGTGCGCGCCCGGGCTCGGGCTTCGCCTCGGTGGCTCCAGCGATCTCCCGTGTTGGGGCTGGCGCCTCCTCCTCCTGCCGCGGGCCGCCGTCGGGGACCGGCTCTGCTGCGGCTGAGGCGGTGGTGGGATCCGGGCTGGGCTCCTGCGTGCCAGCTCGCTCCGGACCGGGGTCCGAGGGGGCACCGGGAGAGTCGGATGGTGCTGCGGGCGCGGCAGGCGCGGGCGCGGCGGGGCGGCCCCGGGCGCGCTCCGCGATGAGGCGGCGCGTCTTGCAGAGTAGAAGCACCCGGCGCTGCAGGGGCTGCGGGGGCTGCGAGCTCGGCGTCTCGGCTGCCTCCAGGCCCGGCGGCTCCTCCTGGTCCGACTCCACCACGCTGCGCCGCAGGAAGCGCTGGGGCCCGAGCCGCGCCGCCCTCGCCCGCGGCTCCGCCATGCCCGCCGACCCCGCGCCGCGCCCGGCCTCCATCAGCGCGCCGGGGGCGTCTCGGCGGCCGCCATCGTGGTCCATCTCTGCGGGCCAAGGACACACGGGCCCCGCGTGAGCGCCAGCCCCGCCGCACCGGCCTGGGCCGCGGGATGAGACAGCGCCGCCCCTGGGCCCGCGCCCTGCCCAGCCCAGCCCGCCGCAGAAGTGGCCTGCCGGGAGGTCCCCCCGCGGGCTCCGGGGAGCGGGGCTGCAGACCGGACCCCAAGACGTGGGTGGCCAGGGGATGCCCTGCTCTTCTCAGCCCCGAGCCGCGAACACGGCCTGTTTCGAGCTATCCCGGGGCCTCCAGGAGGGACGACCTGCTAGGTGTCCCTGAGGGCCCACGGCAGCTACAGAAGGGCTACGGAGGCTGGAGAAAGCGGTCAAGGCCAGCCCGGGAGCGACCCTGCAGCAGGGCTGTCCCGCGGGCGGCTGCGGAGGGGACAGGGAGGCCCGGGGCAGGGGGGAGGATCGGCTAAGAGCCGGCTCCACAAAGGACGCGGGCCCGGGGCGCGCGGGGAGGGGGCTGCGGCGGCGCAGCGCGCACACAAAGGCGGCGGGCGGGAGGGCTCGATACTCACAGGGCGAGCGGGCGCTGTCCATGCCCGCAGCCCGGGGCTCCGAGCGAGCTAGGCGGGCGAGGCCGCGCTCCGGGGCCGGAGTCCGCTCTCAAGGCCGCGTTGCGCTGGGGCGGGGTCCTCACTGGGGTGGGGGGCGCCAGGCCGCTCCGCGCTTGCGTGCTGCTCCCTCGGGCCGGGCCGCTGCGGGGCCGCGCTCCCGCGTGCTCCTGCCGGCTCCGCGCGCCTCCGCTCCCGCACCGGCTCCGACCAAGAGCGCGGGGAGGGCGGGGCTTCCGTTCGCCCCACCCTCCCCAAGACCAGCGCACGGGGCGGGGTCTGACACGCCCACCTGGCTGCGGCTGAGCGCCGCCACCTGCGGGATGCTCCCCAAGGCCTCCACCTGAGGCTCTTGCCCGAGGCAGGCGCCTGGCCCTGGTGATCTTTGGAAATTGTCCGCAGGACTGTGGGCTTTCAGGGGCCCTATTTTCTCCGGAGGTGACAGGCCACAGGCACCGTGACTTAGAGCTTCAATCCCTGGAACCTATGCCAGGACAGACCAGTCAGGCTCCAGGGTACCCTACCCTCAGGTGCCCAAACATCTGCTAATATGGTCACAAAATTGGAGTGTCTTCCGGCCTTTCTGTACCGCCAGGATATGGGAGCACCTCAAGTACCACCGACGGAGATTGGTACCAGTGGCACTGTGTCCATTTTTGTCGATTAAGCAAACCCAGATCCCAAAGACAAAAGTCCTCTGCCCTAACCAGAGCGGTTACCCAAG